AGAGGCCAGAACGGGAGGGAAAGACTAGGGAGGGGAGTATAGAGGAGGAGAGGAGAGGGAGGGAAAGAGAGGGGGAAGGGAAAGAGGGAGAGGGGAGGGCAGAGAAGACAGGAGAGGGCATTTGATTGGAGAGTTCTCTTGTCTTTTCCAGGGAAAACAGAAGCCTATTTGGAAGCCATAAGGAAAAATATCGAATGGTTGAAGAAGCACAACAAAAAAGGCAACAAAGAAGGTATGATTACTGTGGATGCCTTTCACCTAATTATTCCCCAGAGTAGCAGGCATTGAAGTCTCCTCAGACACACACACACACACACACACACACACACACACACACACACACACACACACACACACACCCACACACACACCAGCTGCCTCTCAGAGTTCACTGGGGGAAAAACAATCCATTTCTCTTATTACTCAGATTCAGCCTTTCAAGACAATTTCTTTTATACTTTCTCATGAAAAATATCAAGTCAATGTAAAAGATCAATGAAACATAGCCCCATGTGGCAATCTTAGGTTTGCTACCTCTTCCCTTGGGATACTTGAAACCAAAATGTTACTGTTTTGTTTTTATTTCCTTCTTCCTTTTTGTTGGTCATGGGGCTTGAACTGAGGACTCTGTCCCTGAGCTTTTTTTGCTCAAAACTAGCACTCTACCACTTGAGCCACAGCGCTACTTCCAGTTTTTGAGTGGTTAATTGGAGATCAGAGTCTCATGGAGACTTTTCTGCTTGGCCTGGCTTCCAACTGCCATCCATCCTCAGATCTCAGTTTCCTCAGAAGCTAGGATTACAGATGTGAGCCACTGGCACTGACTGGGCTTTTACTTTTATATGACTGGAAGCTTTGTGTTAACCTATAGTGCCATAAACACCTAGACCATTTTGCCATTTTGCCAGCAGGTGGCAACAGCTATGATGTCACTGGATAATGGGAATTTTTCAGTTCTATTATGCATAATCCTTTTTCTTTTTTCTTTTCTTTTTTTTTTTTTTTTTAATGGTCCTGGGGCTTGAACTCAGGGCTTTGTCCTTTAGCTTTTGTGCTCAAGGCTAGCACTCTGCCACTTGAACCCCAGCTCCACTTCTGGGTTTGTTTGATGTTGGTTTTGGTAGTTAGATACAAATCTCATGGACAAGGCCTCAGGTGGTTTTTAACTGTGATCCTCAGATCTCAGCCTCCTGAGCAGCTAAGATTACTGAGGTTAAAAAAAAAAAAGATTACTGAGGTAGGGCTCAGAAATGCCCTTTTATGCCCTCTGAGTCAGAAATCATCTTGTGAGCTATGCACAAAACAGATGCTCAGCTAATTCATGCTCTGCTTTGTGACCGAGAGGGAGAAGCTAAGGAAAAAAATGGGCATTTATTCAGCCTCAGCCATGCTCTCCATGCAAAACTAAATCTTATCAAATGTTCATAGGAATACCCAGATGGTGTTCCAATTCTGGGTTCAGAACGGGAATTAATTAGAGAGTACTTTCCTCTCCAGTGCCAGCTTTGAGTGAAAAAGCTCAGAGACAGCACCCAGACCTTGAGTTCAAGCCTCAGGTCAGGCATGAAAAAAAAAAAATTGACAGAACCAGCAAAGGATGACATTGTTCAAAAAGGAATGTATCCTTTACTTGACTTATGTAACTGTAACCTCTCTATACATCACCTTTTGTGTGTGTGTGGGGGGGGGGGGGGGGTCCAGTCGTGGGCCTGAACTCTGGGCCTGGGTGCTGTCCCTCAGCTCTTCAGCTCAAGGCTAGCACTCTACCACTTGAGTCACAGCACCACTTCCGGCTTTTTTGTTTGTTTTGTCGATCTATCACTTGAGCCATAGCACCACTTCCAGCTTTTTCTGCTTATGTGGTGCTGAGGAATCGAACCCAGGGCCTCACGCATGCAAGGCAAGCACTCTACCACTGAGCCACCTTCCCAGCCCTGTACTTCCGGCTTTTTTTTTCTGCTTATGTGGTGCTGGGGAATCGAACCCAGGGCCTCATGCATGCAAGGCAAGCACTCTACCACTGAGCCACCTTCCCAGCCCTATACGTCACCTTTACAATAACAAAATGTTAGCCAGGTGCTGGTAGCTCATGCCTATAAGTCTAGCTTCTCAGGAGGCTGAGATCTGAAGTTTTCAGTTCAAAGCCAGCCTGGGTAGGAAAGGCTGTAAGACTTTTATCTCTAGGTAACTACCAGAAAACTGGAAGTGGAGCTATGACTCAAAGTGGTAGAGTGCTAGCCTAGAGCAAAAGAGCACAGGGAGAATGCACAGGCCCTGAGTTCAAGCCCTAATAAATACATAAATAAATACAATTAAAAGCAAAAAAGTGGTAGATTATCTGCCTACCAAGTGTTGAGGCCTTGAATTCAAATCTTAATACCTTCCTTAATACTGTTATTACCTTCAATTAACCAGTAAAAAGCCAGAAATGGAGCTATAGCTCAAGTAGTAGAGCACCAGCCTTGAGTGAAAAAGGTAAGGGACAGTGCCTAGGCCCTGAGTTCAAGCCCGAAGACTGGCTAACACACACAATATAATAACAAAAACAACAACAATAATAATAATCAGCATCAAAAAGAAAAAAAATGCTAGGAATATGGCTCAAGTGATGTGTGTCTGTCTCACAAACATGAGATCCTGAGTTCAAATCTCATTATCTCCCATAATCCTGTTATGACCAAAATGCTTTTTAATGCTCATCACTCTAATGAGATTGTTCCTTCCAGATCTTGGCTCATGATAGTCTAATAATACTCTTCCAGATTATGATCTTTCGAAAATGAGGGAGTTCATCAACCAACAAGCAGATGCTTATGTGGAGAAAGGCATCCTTGATCGTGAAGAGGCCAATGCTATCAAGCGGATTTACAGCAGCCTGTAAAGGGGGAACAAAGACCCAGCAGTCTCTGGACTGTTCCAGAAAACATCATGTAGCTTCAAGCATTTCTAATTCTATGATTCAAGGGTTTTTTGTTTTTGTTTTGTTTTTGGATGCAAGGATTATTAGAATGTGTACTTATAGTAGCTAACCTTTTAGAAGTGGGTAAAACATAGCTTTCTTGCTTGCCTTAGACATGATCTGAGAAGTAAAGTTGTAGCAAGCTGAGATTTTGTTTTGTATGCAGAATTCTTATTTCAGCCTCAACTTTTAAGTGTGTGTGTGTGTGTGTGTGTGTGTAGCTCTAGAGGAGCCTGTGAACTAAACAGAAAACTGAATCCTCTGTTCACTGTCTCACACACGCATGCGCATTCCTGCAGAATTAAACGGGTTCTGTTTTTAAGTCATGGGTTCTGTTTTTTAGGCCAAATTCCCCTTGAAGAAAGTGTCTGATTATTGGAGAGATGCAACCAACTCACACTGTTTCAAGGTCTTGGTAGGTAGAGAGCCATTTGCTCTTTTCTGCTGATCTGTTTGCCTAGATCTTTCTTAGGTCCAGCAGCAAAAACAAAAAACAATAACAAAAAACTCTTAACAACAGGGAGCAATGGTGGCTCACACCTGTAATTCTAGCTACTTAGGAGGCAGTTTGACGTCAGCCCATGAAACTCCTTCTCTCTAGTTCTCTAAGGTGGGAGAGGGGCCAATCAGAAGTGGCTCAAGTGGTAGAATGCCAGCCTTAAGCAAAAAAAAAGCTCAGGGAGACAGCACCTAGACCCTGAGTTCAATCTCAAGGACCAGTGAAGCCAAGTGCCGGTGGCTCATGCCTGTAATCCTAGCTACTCAAGAGGCTGAGATCTGAGGATCACGGTTCAAAGCCAGCACAGGCAGAAAACTCCCTGAGACTCTTATCTCCAATAAACCACTAGAAAACTGGAAGTGGAGCTGTGGCTCAAGTGGTAGAATGCTCGCCTTGAGCTGAAGAGCTGAGGGATAGCATCCAAGCCCAGAGTTCAAGCCTCACGACCAACAACAACAACAACAAAAACCCTACCTGGGAAAATGACTAAAACAAAAAAAGGGCTTGAGGGTGCATGGTTCAAGTGGTAGAGGATGGTGGTGTATGACACTCTATTGAGTGATGTAGCAGTAAGATCAAAAGAAACTAGAATCAGGCATAGGTCGCATCTGGGGACTCTTTTATTTATTTATTCTTCTGGTTAGAATTCCATATTCACGAATCACTCAATCCCATAGACCAATGACAGCAAAAGAGGCTGTAGGGACTGAGATCAATTTGTTCTTAGGTTATTGCTATTTTTTGTCCTTCAAAATTGCATTTATAGCCAGGAGCTGGTGGCTCATACCTATAATCCTAGCTATTCAAAAGACTGAAATGTGAGGATCATGGTTCAAAGCCAGCCTTGGCAGAAAAGTCACCATTTCTAAGTATATAATTTCAACATCTATTTTATTTTCCCATGAAAAAGAAAACACAAGTCACTTCTATGTGAAAACATAATTTATTTTTCTCATTCAGGCTTTGGTAGTTTGTTTTTGTGTGTTTTTGTTTTTTTTACAAAATAGAAGACAAAATTTAGTTCTTTTATCAATACAGAATATGCAATACCTATTGAAATATATATATATATATGTAGCACTTCAGTTATAAAGACACAACAAATTCAGCATCACTTAAACAGCCATGGTGTTTTTCACAGGAGATAAACTTTTCAGGTATAGGATGGGAACGTGGCTCAAGTGGTAGGGGCTCAAAGCACAGGGCCTTTGGGTTTAAATCCCAGTACCGCAAAAGAAAAAAAAAGTCTTCAGCTGAAATATAGAAATAGTCTCTGGTATTTTATGTCAACCAGTATTTACAAAAGCAAATCTAAAACCACCTACAAAAGTGAGAGCTGCAAGCCGGGCACCGGTGGCTCATGCCTGTCATCCTAACTACTCAGGAGGCTGAGATCTGAGGATCACAATCAAAGCCAGCCCAGGCTTCCAGGAGGCTTATCTCCAATGAGCTACTCAGCAAAAGCTGGAAGTGGTACTATGTGGCTCACATGGTAGAGAGCTAGCCTTGAGCACAAAAAGGCCCATGGACAGCGCCCAGGCCCTGAATTTAAGACCCAAGATGAGCAAAAAAAAAAAAAAAAGTGAGCACTTCAGAATACGTTTTGCTGTCAGGCCATACTAAAGACTTAAAATTACAGGTCTACTGAATTACAGTTTTACAAAGATGCTATGAGAATCCGGAATCTTCACTTGCCAGTTTTTACACTCCAAACCTCTCAGGTGAGTTATGCCCGCTAATCACCTAACTATGGTAGAGTGAGGCCGCATAGGGACTCTCTTCGTCTCTGAAAGGAAAAAAAAAAAAAAGAATAAACAGAGCATAGATTAATATTTAAAAGTACATTCAGATAATTAAAACATATACAGATTATAACTTCACATTCAGCTCCGCCCCCCCCCAAAAAAGTCAGGAGTTATATCAACTTAGAAAACTGGGCATATCTCAAGGGCTAGGAATATGGCTTAGTAGGAGAGTGCTTGCCTAGCATTCATGCAACCCTCAGTACCACATCAACAGAAAAAGTCGGAAGTGGCACTGTGGCTCAAGTGGTAGAGTGCTAGTCTTGAGCAAAAGAAGCTCAAGGACAGTGCCCAGGCCCTGAGTTCAAGTCCTAGGACTGGCAAAAAAAATTTTTAAAAAGATAAAGGTTTAAATGCTGCATGAAAGGTAAATTATTAAGTAGCACCGGATTGTTTCCATCTTATTGGTGCTTCAGTTATTAGAATAAAATTCTTATATTCAGAGCCAGGCGGTGTAGTGACACATGCCTATCAATAATCCCAGCACTTGGGAGGTTAAGGTAGAAGGATCTTAAGTTCTAGGCTAGCCTAGGACATCTAGCAAAAGCATGTCTCAAAATCAAAACAAATTGGGCATTGGTTGCTCACATCGTAATCCAAGTTACTCAGGATGATACCTGAGGATTGAGGTTAAAAGCCAGCCTGCACAAGAAAGTCCATGAGACTTATCTCCAATCAACAACAAAAAGCCAAAAGTGGAGCTGTTGTTCAAGTGATGAGTGCTAGCCTTGGACAAAAAAAAAAAAACTCAGGTTCAACAGCACCCAGGCCCTGAGTTCATACCTCAGAACTGGCACAAAACAAGAAAAGAAAAGAAAAAATGCATTTTTATACGACATTTAAGTATAGAGTATTAAAGTTACATTAATTTAATTAAGGTTGATTACAGTTTGTATTTTATATTGTCTTCTTCTTTCTCAAAAGGACTTATGGCACATACAACAAAGGTTATGGATCTAAACATTCAGCTACTCCGGATGCAGAGATAGGGAGAATCAAATTTCAAAGTCGGGCTGGGTTAAAAAGTTCACAAGACACAGCCTTGAGATGAAATGCTCAGGGACAGCGCCCAGGCCCAGAGTTCAAGCCTCATGACTGACAAAAAAAGTTCACAAGACTCCATATCAACCAATAAAAAAGCCTACTACAGTGGCAAGTTCATGTCAACCCAGCTAAGCAAGAAGTTTAAATAGGAGTATTGTGGTCCAGGTTGGCCTGAGCGTACATGTGAAATTCTATTCGGAAAACAATGAAAGCAGATACAGCTGTAGGCATGGCCTAAGTGGTAGAGTTAGTACCCGCCCGGCAAGAGCAAAGTCTTAAATTCAAACCCCAATACAGCAAAAAAAAAAAATAATAATAATAAGTAAATATGTTAGTGATTGAGCCTGTGCAACAATTTTAGTTGCATGCTTCCTAATAGCCAGGGAGAGAAAGGAAAGGAAACATGGCAGTTTGTACCTTCATAGAGGGAGAAGGAAAACAATTCTATAGGAGAGAAAATTTTGCTCTAGTGCCAAATTGAAAATCAAAGAAGAAAGTCCACAGGAAATCTTTTTTTTTTTGGTTGGTCCCGGGGCTTGAACTCTGGGGCCTGGGCACTGTCTCTCAGCTCTTCAGCTCAAGGTGAGCACTCTACCACTTGAGCTACAGCATCACTTCTGGTTTTCTGGTAGTTTACTGGAGATAAGAGTTTCACGGATTTCCCTGCCCGGGCTGGCTTTGAACCATGATCCTCAGATCCCAGCCTCCTGAGTAGCTAGGACTACAGGTGTGAGCCACCAGCGCCCGGCTTCCACAGGAAATCTTAGCATAGGAATGAAAACAGACAGGGTTTGACAAGTTTTATGAGCGTCTGTATTTTACAAGTCTTCTTCAGGGCCCTGCAGCCTTTGAAGGTATCCACATAACCTTCACCTTGACTGCAAGCCAAATGATACTATTAAAACAAAGTACAGATTTGGTGGTTGTCAATACTGGGGCTTGATCTCAAGGCCTGGGCAACTGTCCTTTAGCTCTTTCATCTAAGGCCAGTTCTCTACTACTTAAGCCACAGCTTCACCTTTTAGCCAATCAGAGATAATAGTCTCATAGACTTTCCTACCCAGGCTGAATTTGAACCAAGATCCTCCAGATCTCATTCTGCTGAGTAGCTGGGATTACAGGTGTGAGCAACTAGTAGCCCCCAACAGTACCAAGGAATTTTTACCTGCTTTCTTCTTTTAGTTTCTTGGCTGCCTGGGTTGAAATCTTAATCTGCAAATCAAGTCTCTGCAGGAAATCTCTGGCTGACACTTCCTGGGGCTGCACGGGGAGAAGGTCAGGACTGGGAGGAGGGAGCTGGATCCCAACCCCCTCAGGTGTCTCTTCAGGATTGTCTACAGTTTCATTTTCTGGAGAATCAATGGAGTTCAGTCCATTAAACAACAAAGGCTTCTCAGCTACAACCGGGATGTTCAAAGTCTTCTTCAGAAATATACAATCATTGGTGAACAGTTTATTGGCCCTTTTAATCTGCTCCATCTAAAATGCATTAAAAAAAAAAAAAAAAAAAAGGAAAGGAAAAACAGTTACACATTACCCAATCCAAGACTAGGGTCTATTACCACCCATCATTATTTCCCCTGTCAGCCATCTTGCCTTAAATCACTTACTTAATAGATTCCTGTGGTGATTTCCCCCCCTGGTACTGAAGTGTGAATTAAATGCTTTCAAAATTTGCTAGACAGATGCTCTACCCTTTGAGTCCCTCCCAACACCCCCCCTTTGTGTTTGGTTTAGTTATACTCCACACATGGTTGTCAGACCACAACCATCCATTCCCTACGACTTCCTGTGTTGCTGGGATGACCAGCAGGAACTATCATGCCCAATTTATTTATTGAGATGGAGATCCCAGTCACTTTTTGCTGGGCTGGCTTCAAATCACAATTCTCACAATCCCTTCCTCCCAATAAATTGTCTCATCTTATTTTTTTTTTTTTTAACATTTCTGTTATCTGAATTAAAGAAAAAAAAAATTCCTGATTTTTTTGGGGGGGGTGTGCTGGCCCTAGGGCTTGAACTCTGGGCCTGGGCACTGTCTCTGAGCTTCTTTTGCTCAAGGCTAGAGCTCTACCACCTGAGCCACAGCGCCACTTCCAGCTTTTTTTTTTTTTTTAGATAATTTATTGGCAACAAGAGTCTTATGGACTTTCCTGCCTGGGCTGGCTTCAAACCACAATCCTCAAATCTCAGCCTCCTGAGTAGCCAGGATTACAGGCATGAGCTCCCAGTGCCAGGCTCTTCCAGATATTATTTTATTTGTGAAGGCTTCCTTTGTCTCCCTTTCACTTGCCCAATGACTTAAAAGATAGGAAAGGTGGTAGAAGAGAATTTAGAAGGAAGGATGGTAGAAGCTGGGTGGGATTATAGACATTAAGAAAGGCCCCACGCTGGGTGTCAGTAGCTCACACCTGTAATCCTAGCTACTCAGGAGGCTGAGATCTGAAGATCACAGTTCCAAGCCAATCCAGGCGGGAAAGTCCATAAGACTCTGAACTTCAATAAATTACCAAAAAAAAAAAAAGCCAGAAGTGGTGCTGTGGTTCAAATGATAGAGCATTAGCCATCAGTAAAAGAAGCTCAGGGACAGCACCTAGGCCCTGACTGCAAGCCCCAGAACCAGCAAAAAAAAAAAAAAGAGAGAGAGAGAAAAGAAAAGAAGAAGAAAGGCCACACACACACACACACACACACACACACACACACACACACACACACACACACACACACACACAGGTGGTGGGATTCTAATTGTGACTCAGCCTGTCAGCCTTCCTGAGTACTGGGATTACAAGTGAAAACTACGACAGTCAGCTTCTGATTTTGAGTGTTTTGACTCTAAATGGACTTTGAAGAATCAGTAGCTATGGGACAGGGAAGGGATCAGGGTTGAGTTGACACAGTGATAAAGCATTTTCCTTCTTTTGTTCCTTCCCTCCTTCCCTTTCCAGCAGGGTATCATTCTTTTGTCCTATAGACTGGGGATGTGAAGATCCATTTTTACAAATACGAGAAACAGGAGTGCTAGCCTTGAACAAAAAAATAAAGCTCAGGGACAGCACTCAAGTTCTAGGTTCAAGCCCATGAACACCACTACCACCACCACCACCAACAAGAACAAATATGAGCAGCAAGGCTCATACAGATTAATATCTGGCCTTATTTTGACAACCAACAGATAAGGAAGCTTGAATGTATAATATAGCTTTTTTTGTGGGGGGTGGGGGAGGTCAGTCATAGGGCCTGAACTCTGAGCCTGGGCGCTGTCCCTCAGTTCTTCAGCTCAGGGCTAGTGCTCTACCACTTGAGCCACAGTGCCACTTCCAGCTTTTTCTGCTTATGTGGTGCTGAGGAATCGAACCAGGGCCTCATGCATGCAAGGCAAGTGCTCTACCACTGAGCCACCTTCCCAGCCCTGTAATACAGCTTTCCATCACCTCCAATTGTTCCACAGTCCATGGATGTCTCCCCCAAACCAGAGCAAGACACACATTATCTCAATTAACCTTCACCACCACTCTTCAATCTGGATCTCACCATCTCTTTTTTACATGTGCTAGGTGCTGGTGGCTTACACCTGTAATCCTAGTGACTCATGGAGCTGAGATCTGGAGGATTGCTGTCTGAAGCCAGCCCAGCCGGACAAATCCATGAGGCTAGCTGACCAATTAGCCAACAAAAAGATGGGCTGGAGGCAAGGCTCAGGTAGTAGAGTACCAGTCCCAGGCAAGAAAACTGAGCAAGTCCTAGTACCAGGAAAAATAATATATATATATATATATATGTAAAACAAACTGTACAGGTCACTTATGGGAGACAAGGTGAACTCCAGTTTGTAGAAAAGACAGGCAAGCTGCCTGGGGGTTAAAAAAAAAAAAGATAAAAAGTTTATGCAAATAATAGGACTATTTTGCTGTCTTTTTCCACTTTCAGTTTCTCTACCATTCTCGAAAGTTTATCCAGGGTTTCCTCCGGGTGAAAAGCTCACCATGGCAACCTAGAACTAATCTGTTTCCTCCTCTCTTTCCCCAGGCTTGAATCCAACTGCTTAGAGCCAGGATGTAAGAGGAAAAAAAAAAAATCAATGGCTAAATCTAGAATCCCAGACTAAGGAAGGGACCTTCATATCTCAGAGGAGATAAACACAGCCCTAGCCAGTTTATGTCTGTGGTTGGAACTATATTTAATAGTTTACTCAACCTGGCCCAAAGAGTTTTAGTTTCCCAGGCTCACTTCCTCTATTCCGGTATGATCCTGTGGGTAAAGCTGTATGAAGACCAGAAGCGGATAGAAGCTAGGAGAGGCACCAACAGCAAAAAGCAGCAACTGTGGAGTTCACATTCTGTGGGCTCCGGATCTCATCTTCCTCAGGCTACATCTCCTCACTCAGCCCCTCGCCAGGGTTCCACTGTTACCACATCTGCTCAACTTTGGGGACTAAAATTTCTCACCTGCCTGACTTGGGGAGTATGATACCCCGAGGGATGTGCTGAATTTAGAAGGGGCCAGGCTAGGAAAAAATACAAACCAGACAAGCCAGGCACTGGTAGGTCATGCCTGTAATCCTAGCTACACAGGAATGTGAGAAACGAAGATCAAGGTTCAAAACCAGGCTTGGTGGACAAATCCAAGAGACTCTTATCTCCAAAATAACCAGCAAGAATAAACAAACAAGAACAACAACCAGAAGTGGAGCTGTGGCTCAAGTGGTAGAGCTCCAGCCTTGAGAGTAAAAAACAAGGGAGAGTGAAAGGCCCTGAGTTCAAGTCTTATACTGGCATGAAGAAAGGAAGGAAGGAAAGAAGGAGGGAAGGAGGGAAGGAGGGAGGGAGGGAAGGAGGGAGGGAAGGAACGAACGAACGAAAGAAGGAAAATGCTTTATCACTGTGTCAATTCAACCCTGATCTCAATGAATATACTTAGAAAATATCTTTATCTCTCAATCTATCGTCTCATCCGAGCAATGATTAATTACATCTATCTCCTAGGGTTCTTGTGAACACCAAATTAACTAAGATCAAGTGAACACCAAATTAACTAAGATCAAGTTCAAACAAGATTCATGCAATGTTTGGTCCACAGTTAAGTATTGCAAACAGTTAATAACAATGTTTCCCAGTCTGCTCTTCTCTAGCTCTGACCTAATCCAGGCTTCAATAATACCCAAAGACAACTAGAGATCTCCCAAGAACATTTAGCAGGAGTTCTGAGAGGTATAACATCTACAGAACTGCCCCATCCTAAAATGTTTAGATAACAAAAGACTCGATGGTAAATATATACTCACTTCAATATGCAAAATACAAGTTCTCTGGCCTTGGTGATGCCCAGTTTCACTTTAAGAGCAAGATACAGATCTGGGTATCTTTCTTCTCCCTGTCTGTCTAAGATGTTTCAGAAAGGAACACTGAAAACTGAACTGATACTGAACTCCAATGTAAAAAGGTCATCCATCACAAGCCAGGCACTAGTGGCTCAAGCCTGTAATCCTAGCTACTCAAGAGACTTATCATCTAAAGACGGTGGCTTGAAGTCAGCCTGGGCAGAAAAGTCCACGAGATTCTTGTCTCCAGTTAACCACCAAAAAGCCAGAACTGGAGTTGTGGCTCAAGTGGTAGAACACTAGCCTTGAGTAAAAACTAATAAGGGACAGTGCTCAGGCCCTTAGTTCAAGCCCCACTTCTGGGCGAAAGAAAGAAAGAAAGAGAAAGAAAGAAAGAGAGAGAGAGAGAGAGAGAAGGAAGGAAGGAAGGAAGGAAGGAAGGAAGGAAGGAAGGAAGGAAGGAAGGAAGGAAGGAAGGAAGGAAGGAAGAAAAGGCCCGGGGTGGAAGGGTAAGGGTGCATCACATAGCTCAGTGTTAATTATCAATAATTTTCATGAAAAATGTGTTCCCTCAGGCTTCTATGTGCTTCCCAGAGGCACAATGCAATATGCCCAAGACACACATACTTATAAATTTATAATAAATACGGCCCTCGGCTTTTCCTAGTGACACTGCAGTTCTTGGTGGCTGTCTGGCATCACCTTCATGGTTGTCAATGAACCCAAGGTGTGTAATTTCACTTCTAAAGACAAAAAAAAAAAAGCCCAGAACTATCCAGTAGCCTTTTTCACAGAGCTTGTTTACTAGCACAGGCCTGACAGCTGGGCTTTAAGTAAATACTTGGTGGGGAGACCAGATGTCCAGCAAAGGCCGTCCTGGCCCTAGCCCATGCCAAAACCCTGCTTCTCTTTGATCTTCCTCCCCTAATAGGTCTGGGACTGCGGCCAGGCCCTGGTAGCTCACACCTGTAATCCTAGCTACTCAGGAGGCTTAGGTCTGGCTCCTGGTTCAAAGCCAACCTGGGCAGGAAAGTCTGCGAGAGGCTTAGCTTCAGTTAGCCAGCAAAAAGCCAGAAGTGGTGCTGTGGCTCAAGTGGTAGAGTGTCTGCCTTGAAAGCTCAGGGACAGCACCCAACACACACACACACACACACACACACACACACACACACACACACACACACAGAGGAGAGGAGGGGGGGGATGGAGGGAAGGAAGGAGAATGAATGAGGGCTGGGCAGCCAGCGAGGGTAATGGTGGCTCTGGCAGCCTTGTACTCTGTGGGACAGCACAGGATCCCATGGCTGCCAGCGCCCCCCTGGTCCCCTGGATCCCCCCCCCCCTCCGGCCACTGAGTCCCCTCCCCACTCCTGAGTCCCCTCCAGGTCCACAACCCCCAGGCTCACAATCCCCCGGCCTACAGGGCCACGATTCCCAGCCCAGGACCCCCAGGCCCACGAACCCCAGGCCCACGACCCTACAATCCCCGGGCCCACAACCCCCAGGCCTGCAACCCCGGGCCTCCAACCCCACAATCCCCAGGCCCGCGACCCCCAGGCCCGCGACCCCCAGGCCCCGACCCCACAATCCCCGGGCCCGGACCCCCAGGCCCGCGACCCCAGCCCCTAACCCCGGGCCCGCAACCCCCAGGCCCTCGACCCCACAATCCCTGGGCCTGCGACCCCCAGGCCCGTGACCCCAGCCCCTGACCCCCAGGCCCATGACCCCCAGGCCCGAGACCCCAGCCCCTGACCCCCAGGCCTGAGATCCCCAGGCCCAGAATCCCCGGACCCACGACCCCCAAGGCCTGGACCCCACAATCCCCGGACGCACGACCCCCAGCCTCCCCACCCCACAATCCCAGGGCCGGCGACCCCCTGGCCCGCGACCCCACAATCCCTAGGACTGCGACCCCCAGGCCCATGACCTCCAGGCCCGCGACCCCAGCCCCTGACCCCCAGGCCCGCGATCCCCAGGCCCGAGACCCCAGCCCCTGACCCCCAGGCCCGCGATCCCCAGGCCCGAGACCCCAGCCCCTGACCCCCAGGCCCGCGATCCCCAGGCCCGAGACCCCAGCCCCTGACCCCCAGGCCCGAGATCCCCAGGCCCACAATTCCCGGACCCACGACCCCCAAGGCCTGGACCCCACAATCCCCGGACGCACGACCCCCAGGCCCATGACACCTCCAGCCTCCCCACCCCACAATCCCAGGGCCGGCGACCCCCTGGCCCGCGACCCCACAATACCTAGGCCTGCAACCCCCAGGCCTATGATCTCCAGGCCCGCGACCCTAGCCCCTGACCCCCAGGCCCGCGATCTCCAGGCCCGAGACCCCAGCCCCTAACCCCGGGCCCGCGACCCCCAGGCCCACAATCCCCGGACGCACGACCCCCAGGCCCACAGTCCCCGGGCCCACGACCCCCAAGGCCCGGACCCCACAATCCCCGGACGCACGACCCGCCAGGCCCGCGACCCCCGGCCCCCGACCCCCGGCCGGGCGCGGCGCCGCGCGCTCACCGTGACCCCGTACTTGAGCGCGAGGCCCGGCAGCGTGTCCCCGGCGCGGACGCGGTGCTCCAGGCGCGGGCCCAGGGCGCCGGCGCCCAGCGGGGCCCGCACGCTGGCGGTGCTGCCGTACGAGCGGGTCTTGGTGCGGGCCAGGCTCAGCGACAGCTCGGCGTCCTCGGACTCGGAGCCCGAGCGCGATCGCGGCGGCGGCGGTGGCGAGGAGCCCGGAGGTGGCCGCGCCCGAGGGTCGCCCGCCCGTAGGGACGACGCGGGCGACCGGGCCGCCATGGGTCCAAGCCGTGGCCGAGGGACCCGGAGCCGCGCCCAGGGGGCGGCGCGTCCTCCGCGCCCCGCCGCCGCCGCCGCCTCCGCCTCCTCCCCGGGGCTGCTGCGGCGGGGAGGCCCGGGCTGGGCGGGCACCGCCCTCCTCCCCGGCCACCCGCGCACCTGCCCGGGGAAGGGCGCAGGTGGACCCCGCAGCACCCCCTCCCCGCACACTACACCCCGGCCTGGCCACCGGCCTTCGCCCTGCGGTGCTGCGGGGGCTGCAGGGAAAACCGAGACTAAGGCCCAGCCCGGGCCACAGCACTAAGAACGCCAATGGGCCTCTTCTGTAGGGAACCCCCAGATTATGGCTATGACCTTGCCAATGCCAAGAGAACTCGCCCCCTTCACCCCCAGCCATGACCCGAATGACTCCTCTCCCCCCAGATCACCCAGGTTTCCTCGCCCCCCCCCCCCACATCATCACATATAGCTTTCTCCTGGTAGCCACCTCCACACTCAGCCTGGAGGGGCCAATTCCTTCCAAGGTGCTTCTAAGGCCAAGTGAGTGATCCCCCCTCCTTCCCCCAACTAACCCCCAACTAACCCGCTGGTGATTTGGGGGAGTACCCTCTTTTCTGCACACCCAGTGCCAGCCAGACTAATCAGTATGGGGTCCTGGCTCACCACAGGTAACTTCCTACTATCTGCATTCATCTTCCCTTTGTGTTTCCTTGATGACACCCTGAAATCAGAAGGCCCCTGAGGACCTTATCATAAAATTCACTAAAGAACCCTTTACCAGTGCTTCATCTGGGAAGCTCTCCTCCCAACACCTCTCACCCCTACTCACAAATGCAGTGTTATTATTCCCCCCACCCCCATCCTATATATAGATGCCATGTATTTCAGTGGGGAGCTTGGTGGTGCTGGGGTTTGAACTCCAGGGCCTTATGCTCTTGCTTAGCTTTCTAGCTCAAGGCTGATGCCATACCTCCATTTCTGCCTTTTTGCTGGTTGATTGGGGATGAGTCTCACGGATTTTTCTGCCAGGCTTGGCTTTGAGCCTGAAACCTCAGATCTCAAGTCTCCTGAGTAGCTGGGATTACAGATGTGAGCGCGCAGCTATATTTCAGTATTAAATATAACAGGTGTTACTAATATTTTAAAATATCGAATTTCCTCTGCAGAAGTTTATTTGGAGGGGGTTGGAATTAACAAATTATTTTTTAAGACAGGAAAAAAAAACAAAACCAACTTCTGACCAGGCGTTGGTGGCTCATGCCTGTAATCCTACCTATTCAGGAGGCTCAGATCTGAGGATCAGTTCAAAGCCAGCTCAGGCAGGAAAAGTCTGTAAGACTCTTATGGTTAAGTGGTGGTTAATTGGAAAATTAACCACCAAAAAGCCAGATGTGGAGTTGTGGCTCAAGTGGTAGAGTGCTAGCCTTGAACAAAAGAGCTCAGGGAGCTGGGCAATGGTGGCTCAGGCCTGTAATCCTAGCTACTCAGGAGGCTGAGATCTGAGGATCTCGGTTCAAAGCCAGCCTGGGCAGGAAAGTCCATGAGACTCTTACCTCCAACCGGAAGCAGTGCTGTAGCTCAAGCAGTAGAGCGCAGGGACAGCGCCCAAGCCCAGAGTTCAGGTCCCATGACCGACCAAAAAAAAAAAAAGAAAGAAAGAAAGAAAGAAGAAAGGAAAAAAAAGGAAAAAGAAAGGAAGGAAGAAAGACAAACCCTTCTGGAAGCTCCCCCCCCCCCCCCCCACTGCACTATGCTCTGTATTTTAAGTTGGGCCTTGTATAGCCATCACCCCATAGCTCATTTTCGCTCCTACCTGGCAGAGCTTTGGAAAGTGTATTTCCCTGCAAATTCAATGATGGAATGCAACAGCTACAGCTACAGAAATGACAGAAATAAACATAGAAGATTTTAACATCTACCTGGCCAAATGAGGCCTAGTTATTTATCTTTCCTTCCCTCCCTCCCCTCCTCCCTTCCTTCCTTCCTTTTTTTCTCTCAATAGTACTGAGGCTTGAACTCAGGACCTGAGTGCTGCTTAAGGCTGGCTCTAAACTTGAGCCAAAGGTCCACACTCAGCTTTTTGGTTAATTATAGGTAAGAGTCTCACAGACTTTCCTGCCTAGGTTGGCTTTGAGATCCTCAGATCTCAACCTCCTGAGTAGTTATGATTATAGCAGTGCACAGGACCTAGCTATCTTCTATCCTTAGCACTGTAAGTAAGGCTTTCACCACAGTGAGTGAACCCAAGAACTCCCTTGTGGACCCCCAAGTAGAGCACCTTATTGAGCAGCACTTACAGGCAGTTGCTAGGGTCTTTAACTTTCAACCTATCTGACAGATGAAGACACCAAGTCTCATGCCTGTAATTCTAGCTTCTAAGGAGTCTGAAATCTGAGGATCTTTGTTCAAAGCCAGCCCAGGTAGACAACAAAAATCCAAGATACACTTACGTCCAATTAACCCCCAAAAAGCCAGAAGTAAGCTGGGCAGCAGTGGCTCACTCCTGTAATCCAGTGACTCAGGAGGCTTAGATCTGAGGATTGTAGTTCAAAGCCAGCCAGGGCAGGAAAGTCCATGAGACTCTTATCTCCAATAAACCACCAGAAAACTGGAAGTAGTGCTATGGCTCAAGTGGTAGAGCGCTTGCCTTGAGCTGAAGAGCGAAGGGACAGCACCTAGGCCCAGAGTTCAAGCCCCATGACCACCACCACCACCAATAACAAAAAGCCAGAAGTTGAGCTGTGGCTCCGGTAGTAGATAGATATCAACCTTGTGGAAAGAAAAAAAAACTCTAAGTGAGAGTTTGAGGCCCTGAATTCGAGCTCTAATACAGGCAAAAACAAAAAACAAAAAGGGGGGGGGGGTTAGCCTCATTAAACCTTGCTTGGTTTACCTCCCTCCCCTCCCCAGGAGGAACTCATCCACTCCTTTGGCTCCCTAAAGGATGGGCGGGGGTCTGTCCCTGAGTCTGCTTTTGCTGTTGCTGTTGTTGAGGTTATTGTTTTTATTATCATAAAGCTGCTGTACAGAGGGGTGACAGTTGCCCATGTCAGAGAATGAGTACCTTTCTTTCTGGACAATGTCACCCCTTCCCTTACTTCCAGTGTTTCCCCCTCCCATCGCCACCCACAAGGTGCAGCGTTCATTTTCCACACTGGTGACCAGTGAGGCCACCGCTGCTTGCATTCGTCCACCCTTCCCCCCTCCATTTCCCCGGCCTCCCGACCCTCCCCAAGACACAGAAACGAACGTAAACCACGACGACACGAACACAAAAACCACTAACACCACCACCAAAACCCAACCCCTTGTTTCCATTCTGAGTCTGCATTTTTTTTTTTTAAGGTTCCACCGGCCCCGGGGTGCAGGGTGCGTTTCCAATGAACCCTGCACCTCCGGGGCACGATCGATCGATCGCTGACCCGGGGTAGGGGTGGGGAGAGGAGGGGAGCGAACCCCTGCAGGAGGAGCGCAAGCGTTGGGGAGCCCCCAGACCTGCCTCCCCAAGGGGGAAAGGTGCGGGGAGGGGGAGCCCCTGCTCCACCCCACGCCGTCCATTCCCACTCGCATCCCCCTCCCCCTGAGTGGTCCCTCCCCCCCCACCCCCCACTTCCACTCCGCTCCGCGCGCGCCACCGAGAGAACTACGCTTCCCAGGCTGCTCCGCTGCCGCCGCCGCCGCCGCCGCCGCGCGCCCGGCGCCGCGCCCCGACCCGGAGCCGCCTGTTGATTGCCGCGCTCGCCCCGGGGCTCCGGCGCCGCCCCGGCTCCCCGGGTCCGTTACTTCGGGGTGTGTGTGGGGGGAGGGGTGACGCACGGATCGACGGACGGAGGGACGGACGGACGGACCCACCCGCCCTGCTGGCTCTGGGATGGGCGCACGGAGCGGTGAGCGCGCTGGGGGCGGGGGGCGAAGGGAGGACGGAGGGTGGGGGGGATGCTTGGCTCATGCAATCCCCGAGAGAGGGGATGCCCCCCCTCCCGTGAGTGTGTGTGTGTGTGTGCGTGTGGAGGGGGTGTTGTCCCCTGCCCTCCTCCCTGGATGTGGGGTCGATGCCCCGCAATGCGGTTCCGCAGCCCAGCAGCAGCGGGGAGGAGGGCGCGGTCTCGGTCCACCCCCCCCTTCCCCGCCCCCGGCTGCAGGGCTGGAGATGATGATGATGATGATGATGATGATTGTTATTATTGTCTCCACGCTGCGCTTTGTGATCCCCGATTTCTGCCATCGTGCGGGGCGGGGGAGGTGGGCTGCACCCCCGGGGTCTTCTGCATGCTGGGATCTCGTTTTGTGGAGGTGCTGGGGCAGGGCCGAGCCGGGGAGCTGTCAATCACAGGGCTCGCTCCTAGGCTGCCTGCTTCCGGCCCCTGCACCAGACACACGCATATATATATCTATAACTCATTTTTCTTTGCGGATTGAAATGATGGTACCGCGTGCCCTCTTTATGCTCCCTAAACCGATCCCCTTGATTTGAGGCTGATTTTTTTTTTTAAGGCTCCTCATGTGAGTTGTTGGTTTTTCTCTCTCTCTCTTTTTACTGACAAGTATTCCAAGGTAGGAAGGTGATGCACGGCAAATGCGACTTAGCCACGAAGAGGGGGCGGCTGGCACCGCCACGCCTGTGCCCATTAAATGTCAGAATCACGTGGTGCTGCTTCCGAAAGGAATGCAAAAGAACATCCGTAGGAGATCGTTTTTAAAATCGGGCCAGGGGGACCCTAGGCAAGTCTCCCTTGCCTTTCTCAGCTTCTTTCTCCATGCAAAATGGAGGTGTGTGGTGGTGGTGGTGGGGGGGAACAAGTAAAATAATGTCGGAATCTCTTCTTCTCCCAAGAAGGTACATTACAAAAAAAAAAAATTAATTCCAAAAGCAGGCAGCTCCGCCCTAGTTTGGGAGAAAGATTTTTTTTTCAGGGCTAAAACAATCAAATATATACATTTTAAATCTAAGAGTGGTTTCTGCTATGTATTCTGTAGTCCTGTGAAATCCATTTAGATTT